CCCTCTAATATTTTTTTTTTTTTTTTTTTTTTTTTTTTTTTTTTTTTTTTTTTTTTTTTTTTTTTTTTTTTTTTTTTTTTTTTTTTTTTTTTTTTTTTTACAAAATAGTAACTAGTGGCGGGGCTAGCAACTTATTTTTATTTTAAAAAGTCACAGGGGAAGAATTTAGTGACTTTTTTTTCAGTGACTAGCAACAAATATAGCAACGTTTTTTTAAGTCGAGTAACTTAAAAAAACATTAGTGACGAAAAATAACAACATTTTTCTTTCTTTTGTTTTTTACACATAACTAACAAAAAAATATAGTTATTATTATTATTATTATTATTATTATTATTATTATTATTATTATTATTATTATTATTATTATTATTATTATATTATAAACGGCACGGTTTTCCGTTAGACTTTTATGGCATCATGTGAAGCGCCGGTCCTTCTGCCGTCTGTCTCTCTCTCAGCTGTGACGTAGACTGCAGTACCACAGTTCCGACCAAAGAGGGCAGCATTTCCAGGCAAAATATTATTGGATTAAATTTACCTGAAAATTCAGGATTTGAGCAGAAACATAAAGATAGATCCTTTAAGGAACAATTTAGACATTTTATCAGTAAATAAAAGTTTATTTTTGGTTCAGTTTCTTCTCACCTCGGCTGCAGCTTTCAGTTTGGAGCTGATGTAGAGATTCGAGTCGTCTCTGTCTCCCACCTGGAACACACACACACACACACACACACACACACACACACACACACACACACACACACACAGGTTAGTGATTAACCTGCAGCTGATCTTTGACTGAACCGCTGCAGGTTCTGGTCGGTCTAACTGGTCCGGCTCTGAGAACAGAACCAGCTGCTGTAAACCCAGCTGGTTCAGGCCGGTTCAGACCGGACCGGTTCTGTTTCTGAACCGGTTCTGTTTCTGAACCGGTTCTGTTTCTGGACCCAGACGTCTCACCTGCAGAACCACCAGACCGGGTCTGAACCCAGAGAACTGGTTCCTCATCTTCTCCACGTCGTTCTTCAGCCGCTCCCTCACCAACCTGCACACACATCCAGGATCAGAATCTGACCTACAGGTGGCGCTACAGTCAGGGGGAAGTGAACCCGACCCGAACCGAGCAGGCCGGACCAAACCGCCCCACAGAACCAGCAGCTGAAATGACTCTGAAGTTTCTTGGAAGCGGTTTGGTCCATGTTGCTTCTCTGATTTCTGCAGACATTTGTTCTCCTGATCCCATTAATTCCTGCTGACCTCTGGGCTTTGACTAGACCGTTACCCTGGTTCTTCTCGTTGTCAGCCGTTCTACTGTAGGTCTGCTGCTGTAGTTCTCTAAAGTGATTGATGATCAATTTTAGGGGTTCAACCAACAAAGTCAGAGCCGCTGCTGAATCAGGGATCTTCCTGCTGCGCATCAGGGAGAAGCAGCAGCTGCTGAATTTAACTGTAATCAAAGCCGATCCGTTTATGACAAGTTTAATTTATGATGTCAACATCAAGTAGTAATTTAACTCATATGTTAGTTAAAGTTAAATTTCTGTTTTTAATGTTCGAAGAAAAAGTCAAACTGAATTTTGTGCAACTTTTCGGGTCAAAGTGCCCAAAGGTCGCCGCTCTGCTGAAAGTCCTGGATAATGTTTTTTTTCTGCATAATAAACTTCTGTCTAAACGGCTTTCTGTAAATATTTGAAGTGATTATAGCTAATAAAGTCTGAAAGTTACTGTGAACGATTTTCGACTAGTCGACTGGTATAACGTTGAGGTTTACTTTAAAACTATTTCTCTGTCTTGGAATCGAGCTGCAGCTGCTGATTTAATGTGTTTGTTGATGTTTTTCTCCATCTCGGTAACAGAAATGAACTTTAATCCAATGGAAGCAGAAAGTTTAGTAAGCTTATATTTTACATTTGGTCTGAATTTTTTTTTCTCCAGCGATGCATAAAGAGCACTTTGCAGGTTTCTGAGGAACAGTTCAGGTTCAAACAAAATGTGTCTTCCTGATTTACGGTTGTTGCTCCAGTAACTTACTTGGACGTCTTGCTGCCGGAAATAACCGTTGCTAAGGAGCGCCGGCTTGCTTGGCAACCAGCAACGCTGAGGCGAAGCGACCGGGATGCCAGAGAAAACATGGCTGAAAGGATGAGAGAGAAACTCGATTAATCACCTGAGGAGAGAATAAAGTCTGAGCTCAGCGCTGCTGGATGATTCAGCCTGAAGTTTATCAGTAAAGCTGCTCCTGTTTTTATATTTAATCATCAAACCCCATTAAAAAAGTAAAGCAGATGTTTAGAGCTGCAGTCAAACTAAAGAGAAAGTCAATCTTTTTCTGGATCAGTAAAGTAAAGAAACTCTGAAACGGATCTGCTGGGCTGAACCGGTTCGGACCAGAAGTTCAGAACCAAACCAAACTCAGTTCAGTTCAGCAGAAACTCGCTTCAGGTTTCTGACGTCAGAGCGCCAGATGCAAAGAAACTGCAGAAAATGAGTCAAAATGACCAAATAAATGTCTGATGAACCAGATCAGGGTTGACCTTTTACTGCCTGATCAGAGACAAACTGAAAGTAAAACATCAGATCAAACAGACCAGACCGAGAAGTTCTGATCCAAAAAGAGTTCTGTTCCTGCTGCAGATCAGGCTGCAGCTGCAGACACGTTAGCTGAAAACTTCCCCAGAACTACAGCCTGCATGCAGACAGACAGACAGACAGACAGACAGACAGACAGACGGTCTGACAGCAGCAGCAGATTCTCACCTGGTCGCACAGCAGAACTCAGAAACCAGCAGCTGCTCCAGATGTTTCTGCTCCGTCCAGTCTCTGCAGCAGGGGGCGGGTCAGCAACTGTATGGAAGACCAGAAGGGACAAAAATAACGCTAAGGCCAATTAACCAAATCTGTAAATTAAATTAAAATTATTTAGAAAAAGGGAAGATTTAAAATAGAATAAAAAAACTGATCCGTCCGTCCGTCCGTCCGTCCTTAGACGTCTAACTGAAAAGAGTAAAATATTAATATGAATTCTAATGAAATGCAGCATACGGGGAACCATTCATGTCGACATTTATAAAATTTTCCTCTTGATCCAAAGATCAAGTAAATTTATGTTTCTATTTTTCATAAATTTTCACTCATTGTGTTAGGAACCAGGGTTTTTGCTTTGTGGTGATTTTCTGTTGCCTGCTGCTTCCCTCATCATCCACTAGATGGTGCCTAGAGGCTGCACTGTGATCTATCACCTAATCATCTAGGAGTATATGAGGAGTGGGCTGCCAGCACTTTGATTCCTGAGTGTTTGCCAGTTGTGGTACTCTGCGCCACTCTGAGTCTGCTCTCTGAGATTATTTCTAGTAATATTTCCCTGTTGCCTCTCTCAGGTGTTTCCTCGTGGTGCTTTGGATTTTACCCACTGGTTGACCGAGTCCCTCTGAGCCTCTGAAACATGTGATTATGACTATTGTTTTTACGAGTTTCTACAGACTCTGATAGAATTCCCTTGAAAGATGTTTTAGAAAAATATTCTGCTGTTTTAAATTTGATAATGCTGCATCTATAAATAAAAAGTGAAGGTATAAAAATCTTCTGTTACACATTTTGGTTTACATCTCATCATCTTGCATTTACAGGGTTTTAAATATTTAAATTTATTTTTCAGCATTGTGTGTTTTTGTCTTGTGGAAAGCCTCTAAATTGACTGAATACAATAAAATACATATCAGAAAGGTTTCTACCGTAATCCATCAGATTAATGAAAGAGGTCCAGCTTCACTCTAAGAGATAAAAAGTTTAATTTACCTTCCATCTGAAACAATCAGGTTCAGATGAGATTCTGTTTTTATGAGGTGAATTTGAAGCAAAGAGGGACTAAAACTGAGCAAAACAAGAAAGAAAATCTGTATAAACAGAGTTTGTACAGTTTATTTTCTTTTCTAAAATTTGTTATTTTGACAGTAATGGGCTTCCATACACACTGCGTGTTTGTGTGTTTCTGAGCCGCTCCTGTTCAGAGCTGAACCAAACCAGCGCACAGAACCAGAATGATACTGGGAGGAGTGGGTCAAAAGTCTAACTGGGAGAAAACTGGAGGAGGGGGCGGGGCCTCTTCTGTCAGCCAATCAGATAACACTCTGCCAGGGAGGCCCCGGAAAACAGGAAGTCGCTTCTTCAACACAGTTAACTTGTTTTCATCTGTGGTTTATCTGGATACGAGGACGGACATGTCCAGGTGCATTCTGGGAGATGTAGGAGAAAGCAGAACAGTGAAGCCTTTCACACAAATCTCTTCCAACTACAAGAACCGGCCCAAAAACAAAACAAAACAAAAGAAAAGAAAACACAGAGAACCAGAGCCAAAGTGTTAAAGTTCTGATGATTTTTCTGTAAACATGTTCATATGAATCTGATCTGTTTCCTCCACGATGTAAATGAACTTCGCTCTGAATCCAGTTTATGAATGACGGTGTTTTCAGTGAGTCTGTGTGAACTGAGCTCTTCCTGTAAACATGGAGTTTGTGTTTATGTTGTAACATCTTTGGGTTTTACTGGTTTCCAGTTCGGCTCCTCATCTGCCCTCCTGTAGAGAGAAATTAAACATTATAAACAGATTAAAACATGCAGGAAGCAGAAACACCGGTGTGGTGAGTCTGGTGGTGATTTTAGCTTCCACCAGCAGAGGGCAGCAGACTGAGCATGCTGTTTAAGGGTTTACAGTTTGAATGTAAAATTAAATTTACTGATAGAAAATACAGTTTAAATTGTTTGTAAAGCAGAAAAACTGTCATCAATGATCTGCTGTTCTCTGCCAAATAGAGAAAAATAATCTAAAGACGAATCACAGATCCACCAATCAGAGAGCAGAGAACAAAATTATACTGAAGATCAGAAACACTAACATGTTTAAAGTAAAAGGGAAAAGGATTTGATAAAAAGTCTATTCAAGTACTGAGAAAGTGAACAAATTATCAATCATATGATATTTAAAAGTTACATCATCAGATGGACCAAAATATAAACTAAAGTGCAAATTTTGATATTTTAAGGATGAAAATGCCAATAATTCATATCAATAACAAAAAACAACAAAATCAGGCAAAATATTTCTTTTCCAGATCAGTTTCCTTCAATAAAATCTGATGAAACTTAAACTGCAGCTGTGTGTCTGTCTGCTGAGCTTCATGTTTGTTGATGTTTGACTCAGTAAAAGTCTAAATTGTTCCTGATGTGAAGCTCAGTTCTTCTCTGTGGTTTAGTTTCTGATCTGTCCCTCTGACCAGCTGAGCTTCAGATGAAACAGAAACAGGCCCACAGCATCACAGGTCCTCCACCGAACCAGCAGCAGTTCAGCTGTTCATCGTTTCAGCAGCTTCAGTCTCACCAACCAGCCTGTCCAGATTCATGATAGATAAATAAAGATGAAGAGGAAATGACCAGTCATCATCATCAGATGTTCTGCTGGATGATTGACATGTTGTTGATGTTCCTGCTGAATACCCAGCATGCCTCCTCAGGTGTG